GCAGTTCTGATAAGCAAGGTGTAGATTTTACATTTTTGTCCTTGCTCCCAATGAAATGGATAAACAAAAATAAAACCAGATAATACCATCTATTCACGGAATGTTGTTGAGTTAGCCAGACTGAAAGCCCACCTTAATTTTTATATAACTGTCTTTTAGCTCTTCCTTTGACAGGGCAGGCCGTGTTCTGAACTGTTGCGCTTCTGACTGTTAAACACCGATGACGCATGCGCTGTACTTCTCTCCTCGCTTCCCCCATCGGCCTGATTTTCTTGTGCATTCTTCTCACTCCCCTCTGTTAGGATAGATATATCAGCTGTGTAAATAAAGCAAGAAAACCGTATTCTGCATCCGTGGCATTTATGTAGAGTTGCAGTTGTGTACTGCTGAAGACGCAGGCTTTTGTAACATGTGATCTTTACTGATGCACTCATAAGTACCCAATGTATTTTAGCTACTTTAGTAGTATTTGTTCAATAAATATGCAAGATGTAAGTTAATTGTGATTCGGCTTATCATTGAAGAGTCCTACTTGCTAATACTTTCGCTGATTCATGCCAATTTTGTATTCCCAGAACCCCCCTAAATCAGGCCAGTAAACCCAGAGGCAAACATCAAAAGAGAGAAACTCTGCCTTCGAAAATTTTCTCTTTTGAAGGTTTTATCAGATTAGGGGCTAGGCAGGGGCTCATTAAGATGGTATTAGCAGGGCTGCCTCAGGTCACAAAGGAGAATTAAATGTAAATCCTTTTATTTCTAGGTTTTTTTTTTCTCCCTTTCAAGGCATTCCCACACACCTCAGAATGCACCCTTTCACACCCCTTCCTTGCCATTAATACCTACTCTGTATTATTCTTTATCTCTCCAAAAGATACCCACCTCCCTTCCTCATGGAATATTTGCACTTTTACACAGACACGTGACTTGCACTTGTTAGAGGATACAATTCTAAGATTAAATTGTAAGTCGTTAATATGGATGTACCCAGTTACCTGAGCCCCATAGGTGATGAGATGTTATCAGCAGACCTTTCTGGAGTTCCCATGTGACCCCAAATCTTGAAATTGAAGGGATTCCTGCTCCTGAGAAATGCCTGCTGCCCTCCCCATTCATTACAGAGCAGAAGCATCACCTTATTTTAGGCTTAAACTTGGGATTTAAATACTCAAGTTTCACCTCCACAGAGTGTAAGAAACAGGGTTCTGAAGTAAAAGCCAGAGGGAGAAGGGAGCAGTATTGTCCCCCCAGTAGGAGCTCTTCCTTGGTAAAGTGGGTATCAGATGCTCTGAGAAATCCTGGCCCTTGATTGTGCATATCAAGAGGGAACTTTTAAGTTGGGAGATTACCAAGTTTAATTTTAAATGAATGCAATGTCAGATTTTGACTGAATTTCTTATTTGCCCTCAACTTTCAATCTTACTAAGAGAAATTAGTCTTAGGGCAGATTTAAATCCCACTTGCTTGCCATAGAATCAGTTTGTTCAACTTGAAGAAAAAGAAATTTTAAACAGAGACACCATCATCATGTCTTGGCAATCCCACCCAGAGCTTAAGACCTCTCCATGTAAGGGAAGGTGTCTTTTACATTTAGTTACCCATAATCACAACACAAAGAAGACTGAGGCAGAAGGCTTGCCATCAGCTTCAGGTGAGCCTGGGTTGCATAGTAAGTTTCAGTGTAAGACCAAAAAAAAAAAAAAAAAAAAAAAAAAAGAAAAAAAAACAAAAAAAAAAAAACCCCGCTTTCCCCCCCCCTTTTTTTTTTTCA